TATTTCTCCTCGCTCACGTGAATTCAGTTTGTATAGCTGCTGATTTAATAATCATCTTTAATGTCTTATAACCTATAGTTAACATGAAATCTTGATATTTAACAATTTCTATATAACCATGTAGATATACAAATTACAGGTAAACTACGTGAACTGTTCCTCTTTTGAGTTCCTAATTCATTTGAAATTTTCATAATTTGCTTTGCAAATTTGAAAACGTCTTTGCAAATCCTTGAGTGAATTTGCAATTTTCCTGTCGGCCGACGGCCGTTGCAATATTCCAACGCAAAGAAAGTTCCTTTCAAATTTTTCTTACTTCTTGTTTTAATTTCCTGACTTCCTGTTCTGTTCTGTTCTGAGCGTTATCATTGGTGGATTATTTTTGTTGGCCAATTACAACGCGCAGAACAGAACAGGAAGTTAGGAACTTGTAACAGGAAGTTAAGAACTTCTAACAGGAACTGAGGAAAATTTATGTGGCTCTTAAGAACATTGCAAATTCCCTCGAGTTTTTCAAATTTGCTAAGGTAATGAGGAAAATTGCAATCAAGTTAGGAACTTAAAAGAGGAACGCTTCACGTAGTTTACCTGTAAGAAAACACAAAACTTAAACTGTCACATATATGTTATTTTTGAGACGTTTTCCTTGTAAATTTGAACTTGTCCACACCTGTCGTTAACTTTGTCTGCAGTAAGTATAGATAGTAGCCTATATTCTGTGACTGTGGTTAATTTATATGCCTTCTTGAATGAAAATGGCGGAATAAAAAATATCATGGCTCTTATTTAAACAATGCAATAATCTTTCTAAGCAGCCGAACATTTACGTCTTTTACTCGAGCTATAATGCATGTTATATAGGTTAGGTTACCACCAGACGATTTTACCCGTCCACAGATGACGATCTCTTCAGAAATTTCACAAACAAATTTTTTATGTTTTTCACGTTGTACCAAAAAAGTATATCTGCGAGAAAACTAAGGCTTGTCTCGAGAAATAAGAAACAAAATACATAATATTAAAATATGCAGACATGAAATGGGTTCATCATAGATCCTCCATGCACAACAATGAAATTATTGTCTTGGAAATACAATACATCTGTAAGATTTAGTTTAAAGATAAAGAGCAGAGCCCAGCAAATAACTTTAAAGCCAAACATAATAAAAGTAAAAAAATGTATTAGACAACATCTTCAGAGCAATCTAAATGAATTTACAGGGTATGGTATATATATTTACAAAATAATGGTCTAATATTACAAAAACGGTCACATAGTTTGAAAGAACAAATGAATGGAACCTTTCTTATCAGTAACGAGTTTAACTATTCTGCGGGTTGCGGGCTGCGGGCCGAAAAATGCGGGCTGCGGGCCAAAAATTGCGGGCTGCGGGCAGAAAAATGCGGGCTGCGGGCAGAAAAATGCTAACACAAGCCGCGGGTCTATTTGCGGGCCTGACGAATTTTTAAAAAAATATTGTCAAAATGTAAAAAAAATAACAATATTATTCAAAATTTTCTGTCTTTGAAGTATATTCTATGTCTAAAGTTATTCGTAATCATATGCATACGAATTTTTCCTTAAATTCATTTTTTTTGTAATATCATGGAATCTCAGTTTATGAGTCGTACCAGACATTAAAACCTGTTTCGACCGGGATAACTGTACACCAATCCTAATAGAGCACTATTTTCCATCCAGCAAACTGACCTGACGTCATTTTCGGAAGAGAGAAGAGGTGTTAAACCTGTTTTCCACTTCGACCGTATCGTAGCATTTTCTTTTGTGTTGAAATCATTAGTTCCACTCTAGCGCTCAGGAAACAAAGAAATACGCTACGTTTCGGTACATGGCAAAAAACGCCGAGCCCGCTGCTCAACAGGATTGAACAATGTTTTGCTGCCCACATTGTTCACACTTGTCAACAATATTGAACACTATTGTTGAGCCTGAATATTGTTCAATATTGTTGACAGCTATGAACAATGTGGGCAGCAAAACATTGTTCAATCCTGTTTTCATCAGTATTGCATCAACCTGAGCGTTTTTACGCGTGTACGATACGGTTGAAGTGGAAAGCAGCCTTTAAATGGCTATGTAACTAACACAAACCCTACACCTAGTCCCTACTCTAACCCCTAACCCTAACCCCAACCCTAACTCTAACCCTAATCGAATTAATAAAAAAATGCAAAAAAACGACTTTAGAAAATCGATAGGGCGGTTTGCAGGATGGAAAAAAGTGCTAACCGCCAAAATCATAGGAAAATCATAGGAAAAACCAAGAAATTGGGCTTCTGTATGACCCTTTCTGTGCCCTGGTTATAATGCGCTACTGCTTATAACTTTTGGTACAACTGGCCTGAAACTTAAAATATTGATTCAATAAGTTTAATATCAATATATTTATTGTAAAATAGCTATTATGTCAAAATAAGAAAACTTAAGATTCTCACGCGAATAGGCAATGTTTTTATGTAATATAAACAAGGTCAAGGTTTTATCGAAAGCGATTGACTGTTAGATTTCCTTTTATACTATTTTATAACTAAATAATGTTATTTCCTACAAATTTAGCTTTATTGTAGCTTTATCGAAAGTATAAAAAAAAACATGGAAACGGCGAATTACTATAGATTGAAAATAATTATTAAACTATGATTGAAATTATCGACGTAGAATACTATTTCGTTATATTAAATTTCAATAGTATAATGAGAATTTTGTTTGATATTTTAATATATTTCATGCTATTTACAAAATGTACTGTAGTTTTGAAGTTTTGCACACAATATAGTATATATTGAGCATATATAAAAAATTGAGTATTTTGATAGCGTAGCCAGGCTTCACGATATAAATATTAAAAACGACTGATAAATA